TCTTACTTTATTTTTCTCTCCCTCTCTCTTTCTTTTTCTCTTTTCTTCCTTTCTGTAGCAGTACTGTAGGGCTTTGCTTTTTTGCTCAAAAGTGGTACTCTACCACTGAGCCATAGCTCCACTTCCATATTTTTGGTGGTTAATTGGAAATAAGAATCTCATGACTTTCTTACCCAGACTGGTTTCAAGCCATGATTCTCAGCTTCCTGATTAGCTGGGCTTACAGGTGTGAGCCACCAATACCCAGTCCCCCCTCTTTCATGAGTGAATTCTTCTGCTTTTCCTGAGTTGCAGGAATATCTAGGACTCTCTACTATAGGTTTTCTGAACATCTGTGGGTCATGCTAAGAAATATGTGCCATGTCCGGTGCTAGGTGCTAGAACAAAACCACATTAGCCTGTTGGAGACTGCATCCTTGGATCTTACTATGCTGACTAACAGGTAACAGTTCATCAATTCTTACTGATTTAAATAACATGGTTTCTACACTTAGGGATCCATAATTCATTATTCTTACAAAATCTGATTTTAACTATAAAATAAAGAATATTATTCTTGATGTTAAAGAAGCATTAATATTTCAGAACCTGAGATTGATTCAGTTAGGGATTTTGGACAAATAAGATGAATAACTTTGGCTCTGTGTGTCCCTACTAACTTGCAGAAATGAAAAAGCCAGTATTTATTGAGAATCTGGTGGTTATTTGTGTATGCATCCTATAAATATCCATATGAGTTAATCAGCAACAGAACCTGTGAGATATAGGGTGTATGGTCCCTGTTATATTGAGCCTGTGCTAAGAATTGGAGAAGTGGTGGGACCCAGGCACCTCAGCTGGAAAATGACCAGGCTAACACTTAAACATTCAGCCCAAACTTTGTCTATGTGCTCCATGACCCCAGGGTGAGTGGAATAAAGCCAGACTCCAAGTACTGGGATGGAACAGAGAATGGTCCAGGGATCTTGGGCTGTGCTCTGCATTCACTTGACCTGCTATTTATAGAGAACTGCTACTTCTGACCCTTCCATGGCTCCTGGGAGAGTCCAAACCAGTAACCAGCCTGGCCATAATTTTGTCCAGTGAAAAAAATGCTCTCTAGGGCTGGGATGGGGCTCCAGGATACAGGACTTATCTAGCATCTCTGAAGCTCTGGGTTTGATCCTTGGCACTGGAAACATTTTTTTAAGTGGAAAGCTCAGTGACTCATGCCTGTAATCCTAGCTACTGAGGAGACTGAGATGAGAGGATAGCAGTTCAAAGCCAGCCCAGGCAGGAAAGACCCTGGGTGAGACTCTTATCTCCAATAAACTACCAAAAAAAATGCTGGAATTGTAGCTTAAGAGGTAGAGCATTAGCCTTGAGCAGAACAGGCTCGGGGGCAGCACCCAGGCTTGGAGTTCAAGCCTCAGGACCAGCATTTTTTTAAAAAAAATTCAGGAGTCTAGAGTCCCTGGTGAGGTAGGAGAGTCCCAGGAGATTGAGAAGTCTGACCCATACAGCAAGACCCCATCTCAAGAAAGAGAAAAATGAAAGAACTGAAATGAAAATAGTTAAGTTGCTTTCTTTTGTCGGTTGTAGGGCTTGAACTCAGGCCTGGACACTCTCCCTGAGCTCTTTGTTCAAGGCTAGCACTCTACACCTTTGAGCCACAGCGCCACTTGTAATTTTCTGATGGTTAATTGGAGAATAAGAATCTTATGGACTTTTCTGCCTGGGCTGGCTTTGAACTATGGTCCTCAGATCTCAGCATTCTGAGGAGCTAGGATTACAGGTGTGAGCCACAGGTGCCCAGCTTGGTTGGTTGCTTTAAGAAAATATGTCCTCCAAATTGTAGAAAGATCATGAAGGGGGAAGGGCAGGAGGGGAGAGGTTTTGAAACACAAGGATGAAGGGGGAATCACCATTCCTCAGTCAGGACAGTACGTTAATGTGAGCAGATCAGGTCCACAGCCCTTCACTCCACCCCCACCTCCCATCTCCTATCCTAAGGAGGCTGGGTTTGGAGCTGCTATCTCTCCTGCCCCTGCTCCACCATCTCGTATAAAGCCTGTCCCAAGGGCCTTGGGATGGTTTTGCAGAAAGCTAGTAAAGTGCTTGGAAACGTAGAAGTACTTTAAAGACTTAAGGAAGTAACCTTTATCCTATCTCCCTCTTTTATAATGGAAGCTTTAATAAGATGTATATAATTCGGAAATTTTGAGAAGCAGATTAATTCACTGCATTTTACATTGGAGGGAGAAAGCATGCAAGTTTCAGTTTCCTAAGAAATAGTCTTCTGCCACGCCTGTACTCTTTTGAGCCTGCTCCACAAACTGACACTCACAGTCTAAGAACGACACCCAATTGCCCTGTCTGCTCCAATTCAATTGCCTCTACTTGTCCTGCGCACACTGTGTAAACTAATCATAGGATCCTGGTTCAAAGACAGCCTGGGCAGGAAAGTCCATGGGACGCTTATCTCCAACTAACTGCCAAAAAGCTGGAAATGGAGATATGGTTCAAGTCGTAGAGCACTAGCCTTGAGCAAAGAAAACTAAGGGACCAGCATGCACATTCATAACAACAACAATAGCAGCAACACATAATGATTTTTCTTAATGAAGGCTATACAGGTAGGCAGGAGGTGGTGGCTGAAATGCAATCACCAGGGTGTTAATGACTCATGTTGTGGTGGTTATTCTCTTCCCTATGCTTTTTGGAGTTTTAAGAGTGTTTATGAATTTAAAAATAGTTTAAATATAAATAAAATGTACTCAGGAATTTATCTTAGAACCTTATGTCTACATGAACAACCCCAACATGTTCCCAGAATCTCTCAAAGATGATTTGGATTTAATATGGGCAGTCCTTCTGAGACTCAGTGTTGACAGGCTTTCTCAAGTTTAGCCCTATTGATATTGGGGCAATTCTTTGTTGTCTAGGCCGTTCTGTGAATGCAAGCTGTTTGGCAGTAGCACCTCTGCTTCTGTCTACTGTTCTCCTCCCCCTAGCAACAGCCAAAAATGTTTCCAGACATTCCCAGACCTTTCCCTGGAGGCATAGCATTGTCCTGGTTAACCACAGATAACATGTGGCCCCCACTCCAGGTAAACCTACAGAAGTGGAGCTCTGATAACTCATTCAGGACAAACCCAACCGACCAGTGACTTCTTGGGAGAGAAAGGTCATCGGTACTGTGTCCTCTTGTAGATTATATACTGGAAGAGCATTAGCCTTGAAATGGAAACTCTTCAAGTCCTTTCTCGGAAGATGTGGAACAAAGTGAGATTTCATACACACACACACACACACACTCATGCATACACACCTACACCTCTTCCATAGGAGGATGTATACACAAGGACTTCATGATTCAATGCATGATTAATTTACAAATATGATTAATAGGGCAATATAGAAAAATGCATCCTTAATCTATCATGTATAGTTCTCTCTGTGGCCTGTATGTGCTCCAGGCTAGAAGGCTCCATAAGGGATGTTTAATTTTAGAAAAGAAATAGAAAAAAAGGAAAAGGACCTTCTAAGCGATTAGACTCTCAACCGAAGAATGCAAATAGCCAGGTTTTTATATTTGCTTTTAAATTTTGCATTCAATCATCTGACCAGAATGCACAAGAAGTTAAATGTCTTGACAGAAGAGAGTGGTTTTAGTCCTCTGGGATTTCATTGTAATGAATCTGGTAAATAATTCAGGAACATATCAGAGGCCAACGAACGGGCAGCACCTGGTGCTATATTGTTCATGCCGAAGCACACAGAATTCAAAGATGGCATTCCACACCTGCCACTATTGTTCTGCTTTAAACGCCGCCCTGGGTTCAGGGGCTATTGAAATTATAGTAATTAATATCTTTGTCCAGTTTTCCTCTACAATCAAAGAATACTATGCTTAAACATGTCTAAAACACCAAGTAGAAACTGCACCCTCTTAAATTCCCTCAGAAAAGATTTCAAGTTGATTTTCTCTATTAAGAGATTGATTTTTTATAACAATTAGGGATATGTCCTTGTCTACTGGTGCTAATTTGAGTCTGTTGGCCCTTCGTTCTATAAGGTTGAGTTTCTTTTTTTCCCCTCGTCATTTCCTTATTTCCTGTTTCCTCCTTTCCATCCTCCTTGCTTTCCTGCCTTTCTTCTCCTTTTCTTCTCTCTCTTTATTTTGTTTGTTTGTTTTTGTGCCAACCTGGGGCTTGAATTCAGGGCTTGAGCACCGTCCTTGAGTTTTTTTGCTGAAGGCTAGCACTTTTACCACTTGAGCCATGGCTCCAACTCTGGCTTTTTGGTAGTTTATTGGAGATAAGCTGCCAAGGCTAGCTTCAAACTGCGATCCTCAGACCTTAGCCTCCTGAGTAGCTAGAATTACAGGTGTAAGCCACCAGCACTCTGCCTCCTCCTCTTCCTCCTCATTTCAGTATTCGCAGTGCAAACATCTTCTCAGAAGCCACCTTCTCTTCTTCTCTCCATTATTACCTGACCAGCTTGCTTCACTTCATTGAGTCTAACAGTTGAAAAACAAACAAGATTTTGAAGGGAAAAAAAAGCAAAATGAACAACAGCCCTCAGCAACCTCAGCTGACATGTAGCTAAAATGCATATAACTTGTTACCAAGGTCTAATTGCTTTCCTTCCTTTAGGACTTGGTGTGGCAGTGTTTGGAGCAGTGACTGCCCTCCAGTGGTGAGCCAGAATCATCGCTGTGCGGAATGAAGGGTTCCTTAGATGCCCACTCTGGATCACATGGTACAGCTGGCAGCAGGATCCCAGATGAAGAATGTCTGATGTTGGAGTGATTCTGATGAAAAAGCCTAATGAACTAACCCTTCCCTTCTGCCTGAACTGGTTGTGTAGCCTGGTTTCTGAGCCAGAAGCCAGCTCTACAATGAGGGCTCTGAAGAAAAGATCAGGGTTGCTGCTGTGTTTCTGTCAAAGGTCTGCATCCATACCAGTGGAAAGCAAAGGCTGTGAATAAATGTGCACCAAACAGGTTATGTGGGGACATGGAGTCTGAAATAAACTGCTCTGAATTTTGCGACAGTTTTCCTGGCCAGGAACTGGATCGGAGACCCATCCATGATCTCTGCAGGACAACAGTTGTAAGTGAGCAGCCATGGAGCAGATCCTGGTTGTAGTGGTGGTGGTGATGGTGATGGAGGTAATGGTGATAGTAGTGGTCATGATGGTGGTGGTAGTGGTGGTGATGGTGGGAATGGAGGGGGAGGAAGAACTCCCCATGCAGGACAAGTACTTCCAGCTTTATGCTATCCACAGGAGATCCTTCATTCCTAACAGCTTCTCCTTATTCTGTCCTCAGACCTCTTCCCAGCCCAGTGGTCCAAGCATATCATTATCTCCTGCCCTCCTGGCTATTGTGTGGACTCTCCTCAGCTGTGGATTGCTTCTGATACTCTTCTTTTTTGTCTTCACAATTCGCTGCAGGAGAAACCGGTAAGCCCTGTCCCAGATTCTCATCTCCTGTAGCCAAGAGTCCCATGGAGGTACCACAGGTGTCTTGCTGGTTTCACAAAACCTGGCTCCCATTGTGGTCTTTGCCACGTGACACAGCCCCCCTGAAGCACCTTGCAGTGTAATCCCTCTAGAGAAATCTCAGCTCAGTATTGAGCTAACTATTTCATGAGTACCTATGAAAGACAGAGTCGTGATCCATAAAGGAGAATAGATGCAGTATTTGTGTTAAAAACAGAGATTATGGCCAGGCACTGGTGACTCACTCCTATTATCCTGGCTACTCAGGAGTTTGAGATCTGAGGATCACAGTTCAAAACCAGCCTGGGTAGAAAAGTCCCAGTGAGACTCTTATCTCAATTAACCACTCAAAAACCAGAAGTGGCACTGTGGCTCAAGTGCCTTGAGCACAAAGAGGCTTAGGGACAGTGCCCAAGTCCTGAGTTCAAGTCCCACAACTGACAAAAAAAAAAAAGCAGAGACTATGCAGGGAAAATGTTCAAACCAGCATCAGATTTTATGGTCAGAATAGTCTAGACAGTCTTAAATAGATTAAGGTTTCTGCAAATAGTGCAGTGTCACTAATTTCCAGTGACTCATGCCTGTAATCCTACCTACTCCGGAGGCTGAGATTGGGAGGATCATGGTTTGAGGCCAGCCCGGGCGAATATGTGAGATTGAATATGTGAGACTCCTTTTCAGCTAATAGCTGAGCACCATGATATACACCTGTCACTGTTGCTAAGTGGGAGGCTGAGATTGGGAAGGTTGCTGTTCTAAACTAGCTCAGGCAGAAAAGTTCAGGAGAGGCCATATTAACAGAAGTAGCTGGGAATAGTGATGTGTGCTTTTCATCCCAGACATGGTGGGAAGTGAAAAATTGCATGATTTCAATCCAGGCATATGCTGCAAGATTGTATCTCATAAGTAAGCAGTCCAAAAAAGTCTAGAAGCATTGCTCAGCAGTAGCGCACCTGCTTAGCAAGTGTGAGGCCTTGAATTCAAACCCTAGGACTGTAAAAGCAAAACAAAACAGAACCGCAGCTTTATTGCCTGAAGAATTATTCTGCTACATGGTTCTGGTGGGCTTGGAGGTTACTGACCCATCAAGGTCTAAACTTGTGCCTTCCAGCCATGCTGCAAAATGGTGGCATTTCTGAAGGGACTTACAGAATGTTGCCTTTGCTGCCATCATCCCCTTCCATGAGGATCCATTCCAGCCCATCTCTTGCGTGCATCCCTGTACCACCACCCATATTCCTTTCTTTCCCAGCCTCCTCCCCCTTCTCCGCTGACATCTGGCTGGAGCCCACCATCAAAATTCAGCCATTCTCCCAAAGGCTAAGCTCATGAAGCCTCACTCAGCGAGCAAGCAGCTGTGCTCCGTTGCCTGTGGATATGGCATTCTGATGAGGGTAGGCTGGTTGTCCTTGACCAGCAGGCATTTGGGGGTATCCTTACCACTTCAGGCATTGAGGACAGGGAGCTGCTAGACTGCATGGCTTGTTGGTGTGACTAGATCAACCTCAGTACAGCTGTGACACATGGCGTTAGACCTGAGGACATTCTCAAGGTGGCCCAGGACACAGTTCATTCTGTTCCCCAAAGACACTGGCTCTTCCCCATCACAAGGCCTTTGGGCTGTTGCCTGCTTACTGTTCCTCTGCCTGACCTTCCTGACAGTTCCCCAGATCTTCCCATGACTGCTTCTTTCTCTTCCACATCTCCATTCCAGTGTGACCTCTTTAGAAAAGCTATCTCTGATGCACCTTCTCTCTCCAGAGGCCACACCCCACTGTCCCAATTAATTCTCTTTACAGTGAGACATTACCTCATTTATTCAATTATTCGTTTATGTCAGTATCCTCTAACACAATATGCAGTCTGTGACCACAGGGATGTGGTGTGTCAGGCGCACTGCTGGGTCTCTGGCACTCAGAACACACTCTGGAACAGCACAGGTGCTCACTAAATATGAGTTGAGTGATCCTGGGAGGAAAATACTCAAATCCCTATGTTGGCTGCTGCTGAGACAATACTAGGAAAATCATATACAATCAAGTGAGAGAAGCAACAAGTACCGCATTTCCACACGTCTCTATAGCACAAGCTAATTCCTGATTGACCAATAAGAAAAGGAAGTTGTTTTACATGTAAGCCTCTTCCTGCTGCAGCCCCTTAGCTCCAAGCATCCCAGGAAAGTTTTTTTTCTAGTCAGACAGGAAGTCTTAAACTACTCCTCTGTATGTGCCTTTTCTAGTGCATGTAGTGGCAGGATGAGCAGCCTCAGGAGCCATGCTGGCCCTCTCCATGAAGCTGTAGGAGCAGATGAAGAAGCAGAGGAGATAGTTGTCTTATGTTTAAAGACTTTAACTGATTGTTGAAGAAATATCCAGAGAGTATCGTGTGTGTGCACGCACGCACTTGTACATATGCATGCGTGCACGCCAGTACTGGAGGAGGCTTGAACTCAAGGACTTTTATTAACTTTCTCACTCAAGGCTGGCACTCTGCCACTTGAGCCATACCTCCACTTCTGGCTTTTGGCTGGTTAATTGGAAATAAGTGTCTCACAGACTTTCCTGCATGATCTAGGGTTGAACTCTACTCCTCAGATCTCAGCCTTTTGAGTAGCTAGGATTACAGGTATGAGCCACTGCTGTCCAGCCTAACTAGTGACAATTGCTATCTACCAGAGATTTAAGGCTATGGAAATACGCTGTGATCTTGGGAACAAGTGGTAGTAGACATTTACTTGGTGCCAGTATTTTAATAGGAATGACAATTATTTTTATTAATACCCTTGGTACAAACATAAATATGTTTTAAGTCATAGTGTCCATTGTATCTTTCTTTTAACCTTTTAATTTTATATACAGTTTTGCAGAATACAGGGTTTACTAAGCATCTATAAATCACATTAAGACAAAAAACACCTGTGAACAGCATGATAGTATTAACATCTACATTTCTTTTTTTGGGGGGGGGGTCCGGTTGTGGGGCCTGAACTCTGGGCCTGGGCACTGTCCCTCAGCTCTTCAGCTCAAGGCTAGCACTCTACCACTTGAGCCACAGCGCCACTTCCAGCTTTTTGCTTATGTGGTGCTGAGGAATCGAACCCAGGGCCTCATGCATGCAAGGCAAGCGCTCTACCACTGAGTCCCCTTCCCAGCCCAACAGCTATATTTCTTTTATTCTACTAAATATTTTTCTGCCTGTCTTGTTTGCAGTAAGAGCGTGACTTGGCATAAAAAAATAAACTGCTAGGAGGCACTGTGAATCAAAATACATTTTACAGTGAAGTAGCTTACAAGGTCAGACAGGAAAGCTGAAATAACCCATTTTCAAATGTACTTTATTGAACAATAAAATTTTTTCAAAGGAGCAGCATTACAATCAGATGCTTCATTTCATGTCGGTTCTGTGGTTTCTAGTATTAGAGAAAGGAGAAAGAAGAGAGAGAAGGAGGAATTAAGAGAAGAGAGAGGGGGAGAAAGAAAATACCTGTACATGCCAAAAGAAGAAAATTATTTTAATAAATAAAAATAATGTAAGCTGGGTGTTGGTGGCTCGTGCCTGTCATCTTAGCTATTCAAGAGGCTGAGATCTGAGGATTGCATTTCAAAGCCAATTCTGGCAGGAAAGACCATGAGACTATCTCCACTTAACCACAGAAAATCAGAAGTAGCGCTGTAGCTCAAAGTGGTAGAGTGCAAAAAAGTTCAGGGACAGTGCCCAGGCCTGGAGTTCAAGCCTCACAATTGACAAAAAATAATAATTATTATACTAATGCAATAATATTTAAGTTCAGATGCAGACACTGTGTTGTTGATAATTATTGTGAAATGTAGGCTTCAACAGAAAATCACTCAAGATAGAGGAAACGAGTATTGACCAGCTTCACCTAACTGGCACCCAACAAGAGCAGACTATACATCTTATTCAAATACACATGGGACATTTACCAAGACAGATAATATTCTGATAGAAAAAGTTTTATTGAATTAAAAAGAATTGACTCTTTACTGCATGGGGAGCAAGAAATGTGTCTCCTTTTTTTCTCCCCTATTTCTCTCTACTTTATTCTGTTATACTAAAATAAATTCTTGCTAAAATTGAAAAAAAAAGAAAGGAATTCAAGTTATTTGAAGTATGTCCTCTGAACACAGTGGAATTAAATTAGAAACCAGTAACAGCAGTATCTCTGGAAAATCCTAAAATATTCAGAAGCTAAACAGAAAACTTAATATAACCCATGGTGAAAAAAAAACCCAAAAGGGAAATTAGAAAGTGTTTGGGACTGAATAAAAATGAAAATGCAACGTATCAAAATTTGTTGGATGCGTTTACATTTTTTTAAGTAGGGGAGAAATTTAGAGCGCAAATCTCCATATGAGGAAAGAAAAAAAAGTCCAAATCAATGACCTAATACTCTACCATACAAAAGGAGATAATTGATCCCAAAGTAAGAGAAGAAAGGAAATTATAAGCATCAGCAGAAATTCATAAAATTGAAACCGAACAAAGAAACAATAGAAAAAAATTGGTGAAGCCCAAAACTCTTTATGAGGCTTAATAGCATTGACCAACCTCTCACCGAACAGAGCAGAAAGAAGTAAAGAGAAGATACAATTACCCATAAAAGGGATGGGAGAGATGAAGTAACTATGGAGTCTATAGGTAAGAAAAGGATAGTGAGGTCATTTTATGAACAACTATGTAAGCAGCCTCCAAAATATTCTCCAATGATTTCCATATCCAGACTGATATGAAATCTTGAGTTTGGTCTGGACTCACTGACTGGCTTATTAATAACATGTCATGTCTGATATTAAGTTACAAAACCACGTGGTTTCCATCTTGGACCCCTCTTGTCCTCCTGTTACCCACTCTGTTCTGCCATGTTGACTCTGCCTTGTGGAGAAGCGCAGGTGACAAGGAATGGATGTTTGTGTCCTGCAGCCTGCTGTTTGCCTCTCTGC